GTTATTTTTAGATCAATCCAGCATTATTGTTTATTTTAAAACACCCAACATCTCTTTCTATGTGACTTTTTAATTTTATATAACTAGTTACTGCATGCTGTTGCTTTCATCTGAAACTATAAATTCTGGTATTTGTTTATGGAAGAGAATAATATTTTCATGTCTAAATCAGTTTCCTCAGAGTTAAACAGAACTCAAGCAGCAGCGCAATATATCAAACACCTGAGGCATGTTCCCTGCCTCGTAAGAAAGGTTACAACCTGTGCAGTTCAGCCGGAGTTGAACCTTCGCTTTCCTCCCTGCCCCCTCTGTCAGGCTGAATAAAATCTCCAGCATGGTGCCAGATGAGCCTGACCTGCTGAGGCACGTGACCCAGCTGGATGTGAGGGACAACAGGCTGACGGACCTGGACGCCTCAGTCTTCCCCAGACTGGAGGTGCTTCACTGTGAGAGGAACCTCATCTCCAGGCTGAAGGCCAAGGGTTGCTTGCTCAAAGGCATCTACACTGCCAACAACGGTGGGTTTGGCACACACAGCGTTTTAAGTTCTCTACAAGGGCAGTCACGTGTGCTTAAAAGAAGAAATGTTCCCTCCCATCCCGCTCACATCTCCACCGTTCAACCTTTTTCTTTTACAAAAATCACTGATATGAATCTGTCCTCTCTGAACCTTTAACGTCTATCTAATCTCACTCCAATAGTGTCTTTCCTCATACATTCAGGACATGCTGCAGTCTCATTGTCCCTCTCCCTCAACAACCTGTCACCTTCCTCCAAACTCCCCCCTCCATTTTCCCTCCACCTGGTTCTTGTAATAGATTGCCTCTGTCCTTGCTGTAGGTTAATGTGTTTGGATTTCTCCCCACAGAGCTACGACAACTGGATGTCAGTCCCGTGCCTTCCAATCTCAGCTACATGGATATCTCGAGGTGAGAAAAATCTGATGCAGCACTAATTGGAAAAACTATTTTGAAAATGAAGCTCATTTACAGTACATCCCCTGTGCCCTTCAAGGACACAAGAGCAGCACTTGTTCAGTGTTCTGGATGTTTGAAAATGTGGTTAAATATGAACTTAAGAGGGTCAACATTGTTCAACTGTTTCATCCCTGACCTTTGACATGTCCTCTGATTGTTAAGTGAAAGATATGCTTCTGTGCTTAACTTCTTTTGGTCAATAAAGTGCCTTTTATTTCTTAGAGGTATTTTTTATTATTATTATCTTTGAATCCTCCAGAGCTCTGTCGAAGGCTGTGGTTATTATTTGCAGCTTCTCCGAGAATTCAGTTATCTGATGTAGTGACTTTATAATATCACTAAACTAGAGAATGCATACCTTCACCAGTCCCTTTACATTTAAATAAGCTGCATGAAATTTCACACTCTCATAGACATTAGTTCCCTATATGTGCTTGATTTTTTTTCCCATTAAGATTAATGATTATTCCCTGGATCCCCCTCAGATCCATATACGCACCAAAATTGAATGGGTTCTTCACTGACCCAAATCCTTCCACCAAATTCTGTCAAAATCCGTCCAGTAGATTTTGTGTTATCTTTCTGAAATACAAACAGACAGAAGTAAAAAAAAAAAAAAAAA